CCTCCTCCTCTCTGCCAACCCCACTCCCTTCTAGCACCGATGATGTTCCCTAGTTGGGTCATGAAACGTCTGCAAGAAAAGAGCCAAGCTGAGAGAGCACCAAGGACCCCACAGTCCCCCCCCTCCTCCTCCTCCCTGACAACCCCCTTCCTCTCTAGCACTGATGATGTTACGTAGTTTGGGTCATGAAACGCCTGTAAGAAAACAACCGAGCTCAGACAGCATCAAGGACCTCTAACTTCAGCCCTGAGCTGCAGAGCCCTCTTCCTCTGTCCTATCTAGCGAGGGGGATTCTTCTCACGAGGGACCTGGCCCTCGTCTTGCAGAAGGTATTCTGCAGCCTCTGGGGCCCTGCTTGAGGTGAGGCTCCCCTGTTTTCTCTTCCCGGACAGAGGCAGGTGAGTGGGGGTCTCGGGGTGGGGGGAGGGCCGAATAGCTGCATGATTGCCAACACGTGTGGGAGCCAGGATGCGAAGACGGGGGTGGGAGGTGGGCAGAGGGGCTGGGGGTTGAGTTAACCAAAGGGGCCTGCAAAATAGAAACAGGCTATTAGTGATCCATTAGTCAAAGATATCCAGTTGCATCCTAGGTAATCCATTAAAGCCAACATCGGAGTGCATTAGGAAGGCCCTGGGCTCGGGGAGCAGGAGGAGGAAGCCGGGGCAATCTGGCTTGAATTACAAAGTTAAAAGCCAGGGAAAAAAAAGAAAAGATGCCCTAAATATTTAATGCCGGGTGTTTGAGGAGACAGAACAGGAAAGTCTGCCGGGGGAAGAAGGAAAATTTGGAGGCAGAAGCAAAGGCCGAGCAGCCTCCCTCTCCGAGTCACGGAAACCAAGAGCCAGCCTGCCCCGCCCGGGTGTCCAACGCCCATGGGTTGGGTTGGGGGCTCTGAAGAAGGATTGGGATTGGGGGGCTCCATCATCCACAAACGTCCTGGACTACGGGAGCAATGGGGATCCAGTCTGAGAAAAGTGCCAACCAATGGGGACTGACTAGCTGATGCCTTAGAGGACAGAATTACGGAATAACCAACTTGGAAGGGACCTCAGAGGTCATCTAGCCCAACCCTCGGCTCAAGCAGAAGACTTCATACTATTCCAGCCAAATGGTTGTCCAGCTTCTTCTTAAAAGCCTCCAGTGATGGAGCAACCACAACTTCTGGAGGCAACTTCTGTTCCACCGGCTAATTAACAGAATGACAGAGATGGAAGGGACCTTGGAGGTCTTCTAGCCCAACCCTCTGCTCGAGCAGGAGACCCTCTACCATTTCAGACAAGTGGCTGTGCAGTCTTTTCTTGAAAACGTTCAGTAATGGAGACCCACAACTTCTGGAGGGAAGCAGTTCCACTGGTCAATTGTTCTCCCACCCCCATCCAGGTCTCAAATAAAAGTCTCCCTCCCTCCCTCCCAGGCAGACAGACAGATATGGCAGCGAAAGGTGGTCTCTCTGGCTGACCTCTGACCCGTCCCTTTCTGCATTCATATGAACCCCGGTTTCTCTGGGGGGTGGAATGTCCTCTGAATGTGTGACACCCCCAGTTCTTAGCAAAGAGGGATTTTTAGCAGGATAGGATTAACGCTGCGTAAACGTAGATGGCACGGGAATAGCACTGCATTGCTGAAACCGTCTCCTCCCTAGTTTGGACGTGGGGTCCTGCTCCCCACTTGCCCCGTCTAAAGTTGAGGTTGCATCCAGCATCCTGGGGAAAAAACTCAGTCTTCCTCCCCGAGAGGTTTCCAGAGCTGGGAGTCACTGAACCTGTAGTACAGCAGCAGTGCAGCTATTCACCCAGATCTCTAGTGGAGGGGGGGGGACAAATTACAGAGAAGGGAGGATTCCCCCCCCCAAGCAATTGGAAGTGATTTTCGCTTACGAGAAAGATGGGGTGAAGCCGAGGCAGTGGCAGGGCTGAAACCAATGCCTTTGCCCTGCCTGGATCTGGCTGGGAAGGAGGATGCTGGGCTGGGCGAAGAGATGCAGTGTGGGGGGGGAGGTGCAAAGGGAGGGAGGGGGGCAAATCAAATCAGACCTTTATTGTCAGTGCACAACATGTGTACAACGAAATTGAATGAGCCTCCCTTGGTGCCCCCCAAAACACAGAATACGCCTCAATAACTTGATAAATTAAAAAAAAAAAAAGGAAATCCCTTAACCCAAATAAGTAATAACTAGCACACGTTCCCTGTACGTTTCTGTATATAACATTATATTACACCGGTATAAACATGTTGCACGTTGCGCTGGCCCTTGCAAGCCCATCATATTAAACCTGATTGTGATGTTAGGTTGCGTTCAGCATAAAAAGCTCTTTTTCAGCCTGCTCCTTTGGCTGAACGAACAAGGGTGTAGGGAGGGGGGGATGCAAGGGTCCCAGTGTCAGCATTTTAGCCCCCCTCCCATTGCAAACAGCCCTCCTCTGAAGGCAGCCAGGAGCTGAATCAGAGCCAGGAGGGGCACCAGGGCAGGGCAGGCAGGAGGGGGGAGGCAGCCAGGCACAATTGGGGAGGGGTCTCAGTCTGGAGAAAGGGAGACATGCCCCTGCAGGGCTGGTCCGGGAGAGGCTGCCTGCCCCAATGCCCCATCCTTGGGTGGGAGGCTGGACTAGATGACCTACAAGGTCCCTTCCAACTCTGTTAATCTAATCTGTATCCTTGCCCAACTCTCAACCTGGAACTTTTCCTTGCTCCCCAGCCACGATGAACTGCCTCTGCTTCCCTGCCCCCTAAATTGGGGGGCTGGGGATGGAGGGTCCCACTTCCACGTCTGTCCCTGATGCAAGGGGCCATTCAAATCTTTGGGGAACGGGGGGGAGGGAGGGACTAGAAAGCAAGAGACTAATTTAAGACACCTGACCTGAGAAACCCCCAAAGATCCCCACTGCCCAGTTGCAACTCCCCAAAATGCGAGCAATTGTGGACCCACTGCATCTCTCTGCTCCATTGTCCCAAAGATGCTTTTTCAGGAGGCAACTGGGCTTCCTTGTTTTTTCTTTTGAAGACCTTTCGCTTCTCATCAGAGAAGCTTCTTCGGCTCTGACTGGATGGCGGAGGATGGAAAGGATTGATACTCCTTGCAGACAGCTGGACCTTTGCATCCTTTTAGAGGGTCGTTGAGGCCACTTGGAGGTTTCTCTGGTGTCCTCAGGGCCACCTGAGTGGTGCAGATGGGTGTTAAACCTTCTACAACACCGTCCTTTCAGCAGTTCCAATAAGGCTCCACACCCATTTGCACCACTCAGGTGACCCTGAGGGCACAGAGAAACCTCCAAGTAGCCTCAATGGCCCTCTAAAACAGTGTTTCTCAACCTTGGAAGCTTGAAGATGGGTGGACTTCAACTCCCAGAATCCCCCAGCCAGCAGCGCTGGCTGGGGGATTCTGGGAGTTGAAGTCCACCCATCTTCAAGCTACCAAGGTTGAGAAACACTGCTCTAAAAGGATGCAAAGGACCAGCTGTCTGCAAGGAGTATAAATCCTTCCATTCCACACCATCCAGTCAGAGCTGAAGAAGGCTCCTTTGACAAGAGCAAAACGTCTTCAAAAGAAAAAAACAAGGGAGTCCAGTTGCCTGTTGAAAAAAAGCACCTTTGTGATTCCTTCCATTTCTGTTCCAAGGAGAAGCTGAAGGAGGGGCTCATGAAAAGCAGGGCTGGGTCATGCCTTTGAGACACACACACACACACACACACACACACACACACACACACACACACACACACAGCCTGGAGACCACTTCACAGCCCAAGAAGGACCAGAGTGAAGGCTGGAACTTTTCCTCCTTGACCCCAGAGGGACCCAACTGGAAACCAGCAAGCAGGAAGAGAAGGTTTCTCCAGCTCATCTGTAAAGCCATCACAGGTTGTCCTTGGCTTACATCCTGTCAGGTTTTGATGTCATCTCAAATAAATTGCACTCCCAAACAATTAATCTTTGCTGAAATATTCCATTTGTTGAGTATGACAGATCTGGCCCCGGCTTCGTCGTAGCCGATACTAACCCTCTGACCCCCAAACCCTTCCCTTTCCGTTCCCCAATTCTCATCTTCTCATTGGCCATCTTCCAAGTCAGTCTCCCCAGCTTCTGACCTCAACCCACAGGAATGTCCCCCCTCCCATCCCATCTCCTAGGGGATATTATCTACAGAGAAAATAAGTAGGTGAAAAGTCAAACCTCGTCTTTTTATGGCAGCATCAGAATGCTGACATCTCCGCTATTGAGCCCAAAATTTCCATTGCTAAGCAGGTCGGTTGTTAAATGAGGTTTGCCCCATATTACGACCTTTCTTGCCACCGTTGTTAACGGCATCACTGCAAGTGTTAAGTGAATCACAGGGTCGTTCATTGAATCTGGCTTCCCCGTGGCTTTTCAGAAGGTTGCAAAAGAGGGATCACGTGACCCCCGGGACAGTGCGACCGTCATAAATGAGAGTCACTTGCCAAGCGCCTGAATTTTGATCATGGGGGTGCTGCAATGGTCCTGTGAAAAATGGTCATAAGTCACTTTTTTCAGTGCCGTTTTAACTTTAGTGAACGGTCACTAAATGGATGGTTGTAAGTTGAGAACTGCCTGTGATGTATGTGCCAGCCAGATGAACCTGGATCATTTTCCTTTAACGGCCCCATAATCCCTTGTGGAGTAGAGTCTGGGCAACTGAATGGAGCTAGCAGGGTGTTTACTGGCCGGATGCCCTTCCTGTCACCAATGCGGAGTTTTGTTCAGCAGATACATTCTCATCGTGCCCAGAGAGGCAGATATTTCTCAGCCTCCTGGTGGTGAGGCGAGAGCTCCACCTCTAGGCCGCCGCACTGCTCAGCCAGATGAATCCGGACGCTCTTTTTAAAAGCATTTGAATTGGTAGGAAGCCCCCCCCCCAAAAAAAACCAGGATGCCCCATGGTGAAAGCAAAGGGCCCACATGCATTCTGCCAAGCCTCTGGCTCTTTGCCCCCTCCCTCTAAAAGGACAGCCGAGGGGGGGGGGAGTGTTGGGGTGTCACTCACGTGCTGCCACTGGTCGATGATGAGCGGCCTGTATCTCAAGAAGAACTTGAGGGGGAAGGAGTCCGGGTCCGGCCAGGAGGAAGGGTACTGCCAAGTCACCAGCAGCCTCCGGGCATTGCTGGGGATTGGTTTCGCAATCACATTTTCGGGGGGATCTGGTTTTACTGTTCAAGGAAGCAAAAGAGAAGAAGAAAAATACAATGAGAGGCTCAGGCGCATCCATTAAGGGCAGGGGTGCCAAACCCTGGCAACTTTTAAGACCTTTAAGGAGACATTTTCTGAACAGTGAGAACAATCAACCCATGGAAGAGAAGTTGTGGGAGCTTCATCACTGGAGGCCTTTAAGAAGAGACCGGGCTGCCCTCTGTCAGAAATGGTGTAAGGTCTCCTGCTTGGGGAGGTGGGTTGGACTAGATGACCCACAAGGTCCCTTCCATCTCTGTTAATCTGTATACCTGTGGACTTCAACTCCCAGAATTCCCCAACCACCAGGCTCAGAGAGCGCCAGGGACTCCATAGTCCATCCGAGTTGAAGGATGGTTGTAGGAACTGGATATGTCTAGTCTAAGGAAAATAAGAGCTGGGGGGGGGGAGGGGACAGGATAGCAGTCTTTCAATATTTGAGGGGCTGCCACAAAGGAGAGGGGTTCACCTATTCTCCAAAGCACCTGAAGGCAGGAGAAGAAACAATGGATGGAAACTAATCGAGAAGCAACCAGGAATTAAGGAGGAATTTCCTAAAGGTGAAAGCAATCAACCAGTGGAACTGCTTGCCACCAGAGGTTGTGGGGGCTCCATCACTGGATGTTTTTAAGAAGAGACAAGACAGCCACTTGTCTGAAATGGTAGAGGGTCTCTCCTGATGGAGCAGGGGGTTGGACTAGAAGACCTCCAAGGTCCTTTCCAGCACTATTATTATTCTGTTAATTCTGGGCTGCACAGATTCTGTTCTCTCCGTTTCTTGGGTTCATCACGTTGAGAGTGTTGCAGAAATCCGGACTCTCTTTGTGGCTGCGCAGACGATCAGTGTCTGGTAAGCAAGGAGGCCCATTTAGTTTTGGCAGGGAGGAAGAGGGGGCTGTGTAAATGCATTACAGTCTCCTTGTATTTACTCTGAAGCTGCCCAGCTGAGCAGATCCTAGGAGAAACACAAAGAAACAAATGAAGAGTTTTGTTCGTAGATGCCTTGAAAGGAATTGGCCATCTGGAACAAAGCTTGCTCCGAGTCTGGAAATTCGTTTACAGGTTGGATTAACCTGAAATATGAAAGCCGCATTCCTGCTGCAATCATTAGGAAGATAGAAAATTGGTTGTTTTACAGGGAAACCAAAACCAAAAAGGTTTTATTGTTTTGCAAGCCTCCCAGAGTTACCTTGGAGAGTGAGATGGGTAGCATACAAATCTAATAAAAGAATAAAAACGTTTTAAAAAGTTGGCTCCCGCTCCATGTACGCCCTTAATTTTTACTGTGTAGAATAAAAAGGGATAAAAAGGAGGTATGTCAATGAGATACTTGCAAAGGTTGAAAGATAGCCGTCTTTAATAAAAACCACTTGCAACACCTGAAAATCTCTCTCTCTCTCTCTCTCTCTGTGTGTGTGTGCATGTATGTATCATGGCTGAATTTTGCCCATCCGTCCATCCATCTTCTAGTATCTATCATATATGGAAATTGGGATCGTAGAAACACCCAGGAGCATAGAAGAGTCCAAAGGCAGATGCATGAATAAATGTGATAAATGTATTTATTCATATAACAAAACATATTAACTATATACAAAGGCTGTCTTAATATCCATTTGGATAGGGGGCACACAGCGTGTGTGACCACCCCTATCAAAGATCATGTCTCTTGGAGAACAAACGTAAAAGAGAGCAAGGTGGAAAGGTTAGAGGGGGTTTTATACTCAGTGTAAGCCCCTCCTCTCCACATAGGGGTGGGGGCACTTCCTGCCTCCACTAGTGTCTGTATGATATATGTGCCAATGGCTTGCAAATACTTGACATCATATCATCTCTCTCTCTCTCTCTCTCTCTCTCTCTCTCTCTCTCATCATCTAACTATCTCAGACTTCCCCCCTTATTTAACAAACACTCTTGCATTTTTACTTATATTACTATGGCTTTTATTTATTCTGTGCTTGCTGCTATGGTGAAGCTCCTGACCAATGGGAGGGCAGCCTCCCCCCCCCGCGTTCCTTTGCCCAAATGCCGCCCCCTTCCTTAGAAGCCCCTCTCTTCTCCAGATGCTATTTGGGGTCAAATGTGGACCCCCCCCTTTAGCATCAGGAAAAGCCTTTTAATTTTTCCAGCAGAGTATGAAAGAGGGAGTGCCAAATGCCACAGAGATGATGACCCCATTAGAGCCTCCGGGTGCTTTTGACAATCATGTTTGCGTGTTGTGCGTGTGAGAACAGACGCAGGCGTGGGCGTCCGACACGCTGCCCTTGCCCCCCCTCCCCAATTTCACACTCTCCCTTGCAACAGAGTGCAAAACGCCCCTTGCTTGGAATCGGTAGCCAAGGGGCTGCCCCGCAGCTTCTCCGTAGAATGGCTCTTCTTGAAAGCCAATTCCTTATCACACAGCATTCCACAGATTCCAGAGAGCCTCGACTTACAACCCTTCATTAGTGACCCTTCGAAGTTACAACATCACTTATGACTCTTTTACACACTTATGACTTTTGCAGCATCCCCGCGGTCACCCGGTCAAAATTCAGACGCTGGACAACTGACATGTATTTATGACGGTTGCAATGTCCTGGGGGGGGGTGTCACGTGATCCCCCTTTTGCCACCTTCTGAGAAGCAAAGTCTGTGGGGAAGCCGAATTAAGTCGTGTTACTAACTAAACAATAGCAGTGATTCACTTAACAACTGTGGCAAGAAATGAATATATTACCAAGAGTACTATATTTATATCAAGTGATACCAATACACCCCGGAAGAGATTTCTTTAAGAACCTCAACAAAACAACAATGAACTACATATGGCAGGGAAAGAAGGCCAGAATCAAAATCAAAGCCCTACAGGATTCACGGGACAAAGGAGGCCTAGCAACACCAGATTGGGAACTCTACTATAAGGCATCAGGATTGACCTGGATTAAAGAATGGATGGAACTCGACAACAACAGAACTTTATATTTAGAAGGCTTTGACTTAATAAGAGGATGGCACGCTTTCTTATGGGACGGATCGGATAAGAGACACATGTACTTCCAATGTCATATAATTCGAGCTTCATTATTCAAGATCTGGCAGGATATTAAGAGAACTCACTATACCAAAATACCAAAATGGTGGTCCCCGATGGAAGCATTGATATACCCGAACACTCTCGAAATAGGAAAAATGATGAGGTACCAAGACTTACTGAATCATGAAGGCGAACTCATTTCAAGACAGCAACTCCAAAACTCCGGCATAAATATCGATTGGTGGCCCTATACTCAAATACACTCAAGACACATAGCAGACAAAAAGCAATATGGAATCTCGAATAATTTGAATGAATTGGATAAGATTTTACAAGGCCCAGAACAAAAAATGATAACCAAATTATATAACTACTTACTTAGATATAAATTACTGGAAGAAACAGTAAAAGAAAATATGATAAGATGGGCCAGGGACATAGGGCACAACATCCAACTGGCAAACTGGGAGAAATTGTGGAAACAGAACATCAAAATGACAAGAGCCATACCCTACAAAGAAAACCTCATAAAAATGTTTTACAGATGGCACCTAACACCAGCCAGACTAGCCAAAATATATCCAAACACCTCCCCACGCTGTTGGAAGTGCAAAACAAAAAAGGGGACATACTACCATGCCTGGTGGAAATGTACAAAGGCCCAACAATACTGGAAGGACACAAAGGAAATCATTGAAGAAATAATAAACCAACAAGTAGAAAACACTCCAGAATTTTTTTTATTTGGAATGATAACAACACAACACAACAAAGAGACAAAATACCTCATCATACACATCTTGACAGCAGCACGGTTACTGTTTGCGCAAAATTGGAAATCAGATCAACTCCCAACCAAAGACAAACTAATCTCAAAGATAACAGAATGTGCCGAAATGGATAGACTGACACTAGAACTCCAAGATAAAGAAGAAAGTGAATTCTATCTTGTGTGGCACCAGTGGTATCAATGGCTGGAAAAGAAAATCAGTACAAATATAGATGAAAGAATATAGGGTAGAAAAAATAAAACCGGAAACAACTAAATAAAGAGGAGATGCAAGATTATTTCTAATCTAAAACATCTGAATTGACAATGTATTACGTATATATTAACTTATAAAGCAATATATATTCTGATGATGATCAAAACATATATGTAAAGTATAGTGTGGGTAGGTTGGTGGTGGGAACTCGTTTGTCTTTGTAATGTCTTTGTATTTTTTGTATTGTCTTTATATCTCTGTTTAAAACTCAATAAAAAAATTTAAAAAAAAAACAACTGTGGCAAGAAAGGTCATAAAATGGGGCAAGACTCACTTAACAACTGTCTCACTTAGCAACAGAAATTGTCCTCACTGTTAGGAATTTTCTAGGTTGCTCCTCTTCTTGATGAGTTTCCATCCATTGCTCCTTGCCCTGTCTTCAGGGGCTTTGGAGAATAATTTGAGCCCCTCTTCTCTGTGGCAGCCCCTCAAATACTGGAATGCTGCTATCATGTCACCCCTAATTCTTCTTTTCTCTGGAGTAGCCAAACCCAAATCCTGCAGCCGTTCTTCATATGTTTTAGACTCCAGGATTTTGATCATCTTAGCTGCTCTTCTCTGCACTCTTTCCAAAGTCTCAACCTCTTTTTTGTACGGTGGTGACCAAAGCTTCCTCTCCCTTGCCTGGTTTTCCTTCCTTGCCCCCTTGGGGCCTTCTTGCCCATCGTCCCCATCGACCCTTGCACCCCCAAATAGTCCAGGTCCCCGAGAGAGCCCCATCGTGCTGCCCTCAGGGCAACTGAACCTCCAAAATGCCCAGATGTCTCCCTCGGCATATATATATATATATATTTAAATTTGATTTATATGCCGCCCTTCTCCGGAGACTCAGGGCGGCTTACAATGCGTTAAGCAATAGCCTTCATACTTTTGTATATTTATACAAAGTCAGCTTATTGCCCCCACAAACTGGGTCCTCA